TCGGCATTTGTATATATTAATGAAGGTAAATTGTCTAATAAACATGAATTTAGAATAACATGGTTTGGGTACAAAATTTTATTAAAATTATAATAAAGTTATATGCATTATTTTATAAAATTACATGCACACATATTACATGTTACCTAGAAAAAAATTAATTGTCGCGAAGGAAATAACAACTTGTCAAAAATAAAAATATTAAGTATTCAGTTTTACATATTTAAATATATATAATTCAAACAAACGTTTACTGTAATAAAAACACTACATCTACCGAGGTCATTACATATATAAAAAATAAAAAAATGGGGTCACAAAAAATTCCATATATTTTTAAAGTTTTAGAGCAAGAAATAAATAAATATATTTACCTAGGACTGTAATTGCTGATATGATAGTCAGCGATATTTACGTTTTGACCGATTCGAATGATAAGAGTAGTGCAGATCAGCTGAACTAATCAGACATCTCGAATTTAAACAGTTATATATAAAAACTGATTGTTACAAAAATACAATAGAAACAGAATTTGACTTTTTTTCAGTTCTTTTTTTTGCTTTCCTATAAAGTGCCAAATTTTAGCTTAGGAAATCTGCAGATATTTACTAACTTCACTGCAGATTTGTCATTTATAATAGATAATTTCCAACGGATACGACGTCATGAAGAAATGAGCACATTCCTTTTTAAAAGGCCGGCAGCATACCTGCAGTATCTTTGGTGTTGCGGGTGATCATGGGCGGCGATAGTCACTTACTATTAGGAGAGCTGTATGCTCATTTGAACCTGTATTATAAAAAAATGCCCACGTTTCTGAGCATACTAGAGTTCTATTGTAATAAAAAAATTAAAATAAGAACTTTTGTACGTTTTATTACTGCATATATACACAATACATTTGTGTTATATCTATTATTACAGACGGCAATAACTTAAAATTACCAGTACCCTTAAATACAACAATTGTAGGGTCTCCTAACGTATGATTTTAGTCGTAAGCACCTCGAATTGTATCATAATGACTGAAATGATAAGGAATGCACGGAGTTATTTGTGCGTGCCACGAGAACCGAACCTTGGACCAGTTGCAAACATGATACCTACACTCTTGCGTGTACGACGTGCATATAATAATTGTTTGGTGTACGGTCAGTAGGTATGCTATTGTTATTTTATTTCGTTATAAAATTCCTTATTAAAATATTACAACGTTACGTAATACAAAATTAAAGGTAATTTACTTGGACTTTTGAATAATATATTTTTACTAAGAATAATTAAGAATTATGTCTTACAAAAAAAGCCATCTTCAATTGTGACAAAATCGCCGGAACTAAATTATCGAACCGATTTTGATAAAATTTCTATGGGATTAATCTGTAAATAGGTATATCCTTTTAAAAAAAATCCAAATCAGTTTAATAAAACAATCATAAAAAAATACAATCGAATTGAGAACCTTTGTCGGTTCTTCTAGTCGGTTGAAAAAAACGACTTTAACGAGCTTTAATTTAAAACGAACTATTTTGCTATAGTTAATATGATAGCAGATATACAATCAAAAATGACTTACAACACCGCGTAGAACATTGTAGAAGTTATCGAAATATTAAAAATAAAACTTTTAAATATCACAGACTTCTATTTATTATACAATTAAACCTAAACTGTAGAACTTAGACTTAAGATAAAATTTCATAAAATACTCGGCAGGTTTTTTAAATGCATGCACGTTACTGATATAAAATGGTTTCCAGTGGAGACAATGGCTTTGGACCTATTAGGGTATATTGCTAGCAATAGGGCCGCAAATTTCCACTGCTGGCACTTCAATCCTACTACGAATTTGTTTTTGTTCCACTCAATTTGTATGCTATCCTTACAATGTGACTAGTTTGTGTGAATTTCACAACATCGCACTAATAGCCGCGTGGGTCTGGGCAGCTATAATAAAAATGGTGTACATTCGTTTTAACTGCCTATTTCATTATTATCTTCAGTGTGGAGATAACATTTCGACATACAGATAATTACATTAGACCTTATAATCTTAATTATTGCGTTCACTATTAATGTGAATTATTTTGTGTTGTTCGTACTTATATATTCTACCATTGTTGGAAATATTCACGCGCTTTTCTGAACTTTGAGAAACTTTTTTTATAGTTTTGATCTTGCTTTTGTTATTTCATTTTATTTTAAAAACTGTAATCTGATGTATTCTTTAATATATAATATTGTCTTATATTATTTTGTATCCATTTTTAAATCACCAATCTTGAAAAAAAGGTATATCAATAACTCTGTTACTAATACCAATTGGTTTACATAATAACTTTTTATCATGCAGCTCTATCACGTCTTTAAAATAAAGAACCCAATATAATTATTGTTTCATGAACGAATCGTATAAAACCAAACTCATTTTGTCGTCTTTACAATTTTTTATTAGCATCCATTTATGATGTGTAATCACACGTAATGGTGACGTTACATTCCAAGTAAAAAGTAACGTTACTTTAATAAAACAAATAATAAGAATAACGGCCTATAGTACTTTATTTCGGACATAATCTAACACGCCATTACACACCATTGAAAAATAAACAAAATAATAAGTACGGTGCTCGTACGTTATCTTAGAAAGTTTTAAAAATATTGTTATTGTAATATTTGATGTAGGCGTTTTCATTTGAAACGTTTTCTTACATAACTTTCAATAATACCTTAAGTCGTAATAATAACTTTTTATAAATAAAAAAAGTAAATAAAAATGATGAAACGGAGTTTAGAGACTCTGCTATATCGCGACGTCACGATTCGTATCTATGACCGCGATTTTTTCTTTCGAATTATGTGATTTTTTCATTGTTATGATTCATTGCAAATGTAATAAAGGTTTAGTAGTTTTTTTAGTTACTACATAAAGAGAAAAGGGCCTGTAAAGGGTATAAGCGAATGGAGGGAGTGAGTGATATATATATAAATTAGAAAGCTTATGTTTTCTAACGATTACTTTTAACTTTATTATTATTACTGTCTATAATTTGGTATTATAACGTGTGGCATAGAATGAGTCACCCGTTCTTTCCCCATGGGTGTCGTAAGAGGCGACTAAGGGAACTTATTGGTCAAGAGATAGGCAGCAGCATCTTTCTTAAAATATTACCAAAAGTAGATTTTATTACACAAAGAAAAAAAAAACATAGGCATCAGTAATGACAAAACCAATTCTTTTGAATTAAAAAACCAAACTACTGAATAACTTTTGATAGAATTTCACTAAGACTAATCAAAAAATTTATTATTTGAAATAAGTAAAAGAATTTTGCAAATTCGACTGAGTTCTAAGGTAACATACATAAAAAAGAATCAAATTAAATACCTCCTTTTACTCAAATCGAAAACATCTTTAAAAATAATGCCATTTTGAGAGGAAAAATAAATGATAAAAATTGTATAAAGTATCTATTCTCTTATTTAACTTAAAGTACACCTATTACCAAAACTCAATACAAATCTAAGTTAAAATGAAAATAGTTAACGTGATTAAAAATCAAGAGTTAAGTGCACATAACGACGTACATAAAAAACTAAACAGTAGTTTTTTATGCTAATAGCTTTGCTTATCTGGGATCAACGACCCGGCGATAACGTTACCTGTTTCTGCTCTTAGCGTGAAGATAAGGGAATTCTAATTTAAGGGCCTTTTAGATCATCCAATGTCCACTTCACTAACTGACAGTGTGGCCATCTTAACATTACGTGATATGTCCCACTTAGGCTAGAAATATGCCACTTTTATTATAAAAATGCCGATATTTTTATGACACAAAAATAATTAAAAAAAATATGCTCATGATCATTATTATATAGAATTTCGTCATAATTATGCCTCCGATCAAACTGTTTATAATTACTCTTCTCTATCCAAAGGTTACCTGGAAGAAATTGCTTTTAACAAAAAGGTTGCCCATAATATTCTCACTGTGATTATTTTTTATAATTATTTGCATATAATAATAAACAGGAAGCAATTTATTGACTTAACTCTTTAGAGTATTTTTCTATCTCCATTTTTTTAAGACGGTTAAAAAGGATAGTATTTTTTTATTTCATTTCTGAAGTTTTTACAATTTTGAGGTTTATATTTTAATGTTACCGTGTTCATATAATAACAATCATTTTTTAAAATTCATTAAGATGTTTAGGCTCCACAAACAGACATACTTATACACCAGAAAACATTATCTTTTGTGTTTTAGCAATCTGTGAAATATATGATAGAAATAAACATATTTTTCTTGTTTATCATGATAAAATAAGTTAGCAACGTTTTGGAATTATAAGTAAGTAAAACTTTGCCAAAGCTTGACAGATTTTTAGTCAAGGTAAGAAAGATAAGATTATATCATTTTAATATGGTCACACTGTCAGTTAATGCACTACACTGAATACGTATTAGATGATCTAACCGTTGGACGTCGCTTAAGGTATACTAATCTATTTACATATTATGTTTACCCAGACGCAGCAAGGTCCACTCACTACTGGATTAAATTTTATTTACTATTCGAGCCGAGACATAATCCACGTAAATCTAATTGTTATTATAACGATATAAAAGAAGGATTAAAATTCCATGGTCGTCAGTTCTTGTCCATGGGAAAATATTTCCGGGATAAAGTATCTTAGATATATTATGTTAATCTATTTTATATGACTATTTATCAGCTGTTGATCAATCTTACTTAATCTTATTGAAATCTGTTTAACCGATTGTGTATGCATGATTGCGTAGTGAATATTTAACTGGTATTCTGTTATTTTGAAGACAAACAATTCTCCTTATACAAAATAACAAGATGTTGTCGATTTTATTCTGTAAAAAGTAAAGTTATCAATGTTTGGATTTCCCCATTATTCTTACTACGTATTTATTAGATTACTATTAAAAGATTAATTGCTAATATTATTTTATCTTTTTTTTTTTTCAGATCGTACAGTTCTATTGAAAACAGATACAAGACAGTTGCAAAGGTGAGAAACAATAAGTCAAAAGTTATTATAATATTGCTTGGTATAATCCTTATATAAAACTTATAGTTAATAAGCTTAATAATAAATTATATAAGCTTTGTTTAAATTATAAAAACAATATGTATGTAATCGCCTATTTAAGTATATTTTTTTATTCAGATTAAGTATCTACACTGTGTACAGTATATGCTAATAAATTTGTTGATCGCTACTTCAAATAAAATGAATTAATGATCATCAAATATTTTATTCTTTGTTTAATAACACTTGTTTAACAAGAATGTGTACATTGTAATCACTAGACACCATATTTAGAAATGTTCATTGTCATTTTCTAATAAGGAAATTAACAGATGTAAAAACTTCACTATAAGGTTACTTAGAACGCAACATCACTTCACAATAATTACCGTTTCCCGGAACATTTCCCACTTTCATTTAACATTTACGTATAAAAATGTTTGTAATGCAAGCAGGGTTATTATCTATAGTGGATGCAAGATGAATAAAAGTTGTTTGTATACCTTTAACCTACTCGTGTTTTTGCCAATTGTAACATAACTGTAGTCACATTTGTATATTTCGGTTTGAAGAATGGGATATGGCAGTGAAATTACAGGGCATGAAGGCATAACACCATATTCTCCAAGAATGCTAACCATGTAAAGGCGTCGCAGTGCCATAGTGCTATTCCTGTGTATAAGCACAGATAATATAATACGATAGTATAGGCGACGATAACCACTTTTCATCAAGTAGACCGCTAGCTTGTTTATCATTTCTAGTTGCAAAACAAAGTTATATAATGCGGGCATGCCCGCGCGTGCCTGAAAATAAAATATTATTATTTATTTATTTGCATGAGCTGAGATTTATGCCTGTTCTTCTCAACTGAAATTGTATTATGAATTGTACAGTAGATTTATAAAAAAATACTATTCATAAATGCTTTACTTTTAAGTTTACTTATATAAAAAAAAATATTTATATGTATGTGTTAATCTAGATCGGATTATCTGTCTGTGCATTAAATTCTATTCAAATCCAGTGTAAACACCCGTTAATCTTTTCATGCACATTTTTACATTTGCAGTATTAATAGAAGGAGAATTTTTTTAAGAATGGCAGAACAGGTTTGTAGGAAATTGGATTTAAATAATCTATCTGATCATAGCTAAGAATATCCTACTTTTTATAGCATATATGGTGATAAAATAATAAAAACATATTTATAATAGCAATTTTCTTTTAAAAACAAAACGAGAATCTAAGAACCTTGAACTCACAAAATGCCGCAGTTTTTTAATGCCCACCTGTTTGCTAGTAATCATCATTATAACCACTGGTCATAAACATTCATGGCATCTTGGTTAAGTACCTTTTAAGTATATATTATCTCAGATGAATTTAATGTTTTACACATTAACACCTTAGTATGTACATGTTTCATAATGATCATTGAATGTGATGTGTAGGAGTTGTTTGAATAGATTATGATTTAACAAAAAATCAGGTTCGATTTTGACAAAATGACAATATTAGCACTACCACTAACGCGTATTAAAAATAAATCATCAATATCGGAATTGGTGAAGGTTACATTACGTTGAGAAGTTGAATAAAATTACCATTACCAATTCTGAAGTTGTATAAAAATTAAGAATTATGATACTTCTACCTTTCAAGTCGGTTGATGACGAAAATATTAAATTAGCAAAGGTCAATTTTAATAATTAAATAAGTCATCAATCACTGGTCATATTAAAACTAAGTAGGGAGAGGTCTTTTTTTGTAAATTAACACAAGCATATCCAATCTGTAATCTTTAAGTCAGACGTTCTTTTCACTGAATAGGCGTAATATGCGGAAGTTAATATCCCTGGTTAGTTGATTAAAATTATTTTGTTATGATAGCGGAATTATAAAAAGTAATTCTAATAAACTCACTGCAAACTTGAAATCAAGAATTGAATTGTTAAATATCAAATTTAATTAAAAAATTGATACCTTATGAATATTCTAAAAATATCTAGAATAGATAGAGTTAAATGATATTATGTATAAAATTTTTGCGATTTACTATGAAATAATTAAAATTGATCCCACAAAATAAAAATTTCTTCAATTGTGGCAAAACTAGTTATTTTCATTAACTATGTGATGAGGTAACAAACATAAAAAATATAACATACGATTTTGAACTTGCGTCTTTTTAAAGTTGATTGAAAATGAATATTGAATCAATATATATTGTCTCAAATATAATCTTACTAATTTTTAGCCACAACTTCGTCTGCATGTTTGGGGTAAAAAGTAGTCTATAGCCTTCTCCATTCCATACATGTATTAAATATCACAGTGATTGGTTTAGATGCTAAGAGGTATCGAACAAACAATGATACTCACTTTCACATAAATAATATTAGTAAGGATTTATAATTATCTAAATGTTTTTGTAACAGATATACGTAATAGTTTATCTATTACATACTTTTTCATCATTACTACTTCCACTTTTTTAATGTTAGTAAGGGTTATTTACTTTACAAGATACGAAGCGGCAGATAGTGCGAATTTAAACCACTTCGACTTCTCCCAAACATAGTAAGATATATTCAAATATGAATATTTTATATTCTAGTAATAATAGCCATGTAGTCCCAGCATAGAATGGGTTACCCCTTCCTTTCCCGTAGGTGTCGTAAAAAGTAACTAAGGAAACTTAATAGTCGAGGGATGGGCAGCAACGTCCCTCTTTAAACACCACCAAAGCCAAACCAAATTGCGGTTGCCAACCCGCTTCCCAAACGTGGTAAATACTGGTAAAACCCCCCAATAGGGGGAGGCCTATGTTCAACAGTGGACAGTTAACGGCTGAAATGATGATAATGAATAATAACATGATGTTACCACTCTACCGCACTCCCCAACGTTTTTACACCTTGTCGTACACAATTATTCAATCCTTAATCTGAAATACTATTACACAGATAAATCTACACACATGTACAGGTTATTTGAAATAGCCATGTCGATTACGTACAGCCCAGACAGGATATAAAGCTAAAAAAATAACAAAAGGATCATACAATAACAAGGCATCAAGGTTAGGAATGGTGTCACAAAAAATGCATTACCATACATCATAGGATGTTGCCATTGTCAGTTTAAATATGAGTCTTCCATTCACGTCCTTTATAAGTATGAGTTAATGTTTTTATCAAGGTGGAGATTCTTAACTCGACTGTACATTTTGTGCGTATTACGTGATATATACCTAATTCTGTACCGACCTGTAATTCTGGTATTAGTTCAAAATTATTTTTTCATGTATAAAACCAACTCTCTTGTAAAGCGTAATCTTAAATTGTAATTAACATTCAGAAATATTTAAATTTATTTTGTTGTATATGAAATTAGACGGGTAACACGTGTGCTTTAAGTAAACGTCTGTTATCAAAACTATACAATGCACCATCTTAAACGTCCGAGATATGCTGTCTGCATACACTCATTTGCCTCATAAAAACGTATGTGTTGCAAAATATCTATATATAAATGTCGTAACATTACAGAAGTTTACGTTTTCTTATTACACATATATACACTCAATTTCATATCCATAAGAAACTTAGAATAGTAATTCAGGTGAAATCAAGTCGTAGCAGTAATACTGATAGTGTCATCCGAGCTTCATATGTTAATAAGAAATAAATTGGCATTTTTTCAACATCTTTTAAACATTAAGCCTGCCTACTACGGTATTTTTAAATAATACCAACTTGTGACCTGAGTGGTTAAAAGAACCGCTTTGCGTGAATCCTAATACGATCAAATTCGTATGTAACACAATGGTGAGATGGGTACGAAACAATGTACGGAGCAATGCAGTTTTATTATTGACGAATTACATGAAATGCTCTCTCTTTTCTTACCTCTTTCGAATCTCTGGACTAAACATCTTCAAAGACATTTTTTATGCAACTTATAATAGCAAACAAGCTAACGGTCCACCTGATGATAAGTGGTAACCGTCGCCTATAAACATGAGCAGTATATTTGAGTAATACAGTATGAACTATTGTTTATTTACTCAGTAATCTTAAATCTTAGTTTAAATATCAGCTGTTCACATCTGACTCTTGAAGTTCACTTAGTGCGTACAGTAAAATTCACAAGCAATTCACAACGAGATAAATTTCTGAAGTAATGGTCAATCGTCAAATCTGTGGCGACCTGAGCTAGCAAAACCGTTAGCTATGTTGCTTCAGACGAACCTACCGTTACCGTCACACTTTGCGGTTATGTAACAGCGCACAACCTTGATTTAATTACCACGATGTTAGTTACAGTACGATATTATCGGGACAACTGTTTACGGGTGATAGGTGGCTTAACGGTAGGTGGTAGTGAAGCACATAGGGGTCACGATTTAGTACTTTCAATATATTGAGTATTTGGTTTTTTTATTCCCTTTCTAAAACAACTTGAGTTCTACGAAATTAAATTAATCACGAGTACGTAGTGGTAATGGAAATTTTATATTATTTACAGAATTGAAAGGAAGATTTTCACTTTGAGAGTTCAGCTTTTTTATAAGTATTACAGACACCTATTAGTAAATCCTTAAACCATAACAACAGTTTATTATGATTCCACTACTAGGCATGAGTCTGTCCTGTAAGAATTGAATATGATAGTACAAAGATTTATGGCGACAATTCTCCTGCACTATTTAAATTCGGGTTATTCCTTTAACTGCGACTTTTGACATCCTAGATATAAAAATAAATAACAAGTACATTATACTTTTACTCCAACGAAAATAATTATTATAATACTTTAAAAAAAAAACTAAATTTATGAAAATGTTGCAATACAAAATAACGTAACTAAAAATTTGCATAATTTTGCGTTACCGCCTAAGTCCACAATTGTGTTGTGAACCTAATAATGCCGTGTGCAATAACACACCGCACGATTTATGGTGCCCTGGTAAT